AAATTTCAGTGTAAGATTTCCAGGGGATAACTTGAGCTGCTTCTGACACTTTTAGTATTTAAACAGATGTGTGGAACCGTATGTTGGGAGCCTGGTGGTCACAGTCCTGAGACATTCCTTGATCAATGATGATATTTCAGGCTGACTGCTGCTGCAGATGAACACTGCCAGGAGATTGATTGCACTGGCCTTTCTCTTTGACTGTTTGAATTGGCAGTTTGGCAGATTTTCCCTTTTAATGGGAAATCTGAATCACCTATTGAACATGCTACAAAACACTTTTCTTACTTTATATTCTTTTACCATTTACAATATACAGGTTGTTCTTCACTGTCTTGCATTTTACTAAGCATTCTAGTATGCACACATCTCAGCAATTACAGCTCCTTAAAGGCAAAGAACAACATTTTGTAATCTGAGACTGTGGCATCTAACTTTAGGGCAAAAATAATGTACTATTGTTTAAAATATTGGCCTTCTTTGGTATACAGTCCTAAAGTTCAATCTTTTGTACAAAATTTAAAAGTGTTATGATGGTAAGTAACCATGATAAGCAAAGCAAGGTTAATCATATTTCATATGAGCATTGAGAAGATATGATGCCATATAGCAGTTTAATACAAACTCTGACCCACACAAAATACTCAATAAGTTATGATAAGTAATTGTAGTTTATAAAACCTTTTGAAATTAAGTCTCTTATGGATATGAAATTGGCAAATAATTTTTAAAGGTTTTTATGCCCAGTTTTCCAGATGCTTATTGATTTTTAACTTGCAAGAGAGGGATAAATGTGAAATAATTATAAATGTATTCAATTCCAAACATAATTTCTCTAGGTAAATTCAGACATTAAGTACTTTATGTCACAAAGAAAGAAGTGAGGTTAGTTATATAAAAAAGCAGGAACTTTTCTAGGTCAGTTATTTTCTGTGCTTAATATTTCTAAAGCATAGTTATAAAACAGTTCATATTTGAGTAGGAGATCACCATAAAATAACTTTAAATAGAGTTAAAGGGCATTCTGAAGTAATCATTCTGGCCACAATTTATAGAATATCAGAATGATGAAAGTTATATTCTTGCTTAATGAATTACATTCTCTATGAAACATCAGTATGCATACATAAATAGTGAAAGTACAATTACAAATAGAATAGTTTTGGGCTAAGGAGAACATAGCTGGCTCCTAAAAATCTAACCAGTGATTGAGTTGGTAATGAGTGAGGATAAAAGAAAAAGTTAAATATGATTTAGTTGTTATTTTTAATGTACTATGTTATTTCTTTTTTCTTTCATTGTTTTTCTTTTTTCCCTATGGTTTATCCCTTCTTGTCACGGTATTTGGTTTTGGTACCCTGTGTATTGCATATATGTTTATCTGAATTAGGGAAGGGAAGGGGAACAACAAAATGATGAGACAAAAGACAACAGGCAAACCAATGCAACAGTGATATACATAAGACAACATGTTGAAATTAACTTTACACCTTGGGGAGGGACATTGGAGGGGAGAGAAAGTGGGAGAAAATGAGGGAAGGGGTAGTGATGTTTGGCAATAAATGTACTCACTTCCTTATGTATATCACCTTGACAATAAAATTAAGTAAAAAAAAGTCTGACATGAGTATGGTTCAAAGAACATGCTGGGGGTAATTCCAAGCTCTAGGATTTTGAGGAGATGATATATTTAATGAAATAAATGAAAACAACTAACAAAAAAGGAACAAACACTCTTAACAAAGCTATAAGGGTGATATAAGTTCTAAATAGGAAGGCAAGTCAAGGGAGTCAAAATGGGCATGCTGCTCAGAAAAACTTTGTAAAATACACTTTTTTTCAAAATTTATATCCTACAAAACTTTCTGAGCTAGAAATCTGGAAGATAGGGTATATAGAATTCAAAGAATTGTTTGGAGTCCTTTATGATATTTTTTTGACCTTTGATTTGGATTCTCAACAAAAGCCAAATCTAAGAAGAGTATTTTTACAGAAGCAATCCAAGGAAGAACTGTAATGGAATGAAAAAATTAGGACAGAAGGAAGGTATGTTTTAATGCAGGTTGCCACTCCATCTGACTACAACACACCAAGATATAAGATTATTCATTCACCATTATGAATTAATAGTCTGGCAATTCTGATCTGTGTCATCATTCTATGTTGGTCAATATTCATACTGTCTGGTAGAGAAACATAGAAGTATGTTTGCAGATAACTTTAGGGTGGGGCAAGAGAATGTGTGTGTAGGGCACTAATAATGGTCATGACATGGGAAAATAGTACATAGCTTGGGTTTGCACGATCATCTATTAGATAAAAGATGATATATTTAAAATAAGTAGTGTGAAAAAACATTGTAAACTTCCATTCATTTATATTTTATGAACACTTGATATAATGCTATTTGTCTGTGTCTCATTTTTTTATTCATTCAAAATGTATTAATCATCATTTATATGGCAGGCTCAAGGTTACGTGCTGAAGATGCACAATAGTGTATGACTAAGTAGCTGCACCTGTGAAGTTTACAATATATGGACAAGAACTAAAAAAAAAAGACAACGTAGGGATAAATGTAACTGAATCATTAAGTGTTTAATTCATCTGAGTATAAAAGTGAAATGGTATTCTTTTTCCCAGTAATTGCTACTTACTCTGCTCTATTTTACTTTCTTTTTCCCACTGGGAGAAAGGGGTAATGATAAACATTTCAGTCTGATTCTATAGCTTTTTAACTGCTTTCAGATATTGGAAGAGTGTCATTCAGATTTTTACAGTCTTTGTCTTTACTAACGCCAAGCTCCTATCTAATTCAAATATCATCTCTTTCCTCAAATGGATGAAACACCTGGCTGTAGTATCTAGTTTAGACAGTTCCTGATAGGCTTTTGTTTCTCTCCTTCCTCCTTGTATCTCCTTGACTCTTTTAGTGTTATCTTAGGATGGGAGTATCTGAGGAAGAGCAATAAGAGAAAACCATATGCTGTGACTCTGTGTGTACTTTTGTCTTCTCTTTAATTGGTCCTAATCATCCTTCTAGCTGTGTATGAAGACTATATAAACATATAGTTGCTGCAACAGCTTGCTTGATGAAGGGCTTCCCTACGTATCTCCCCTGGGCATTGGAAAGCCTTTGCAAATTTTGATTACATCTTCCTTGAGACCTGTAGCTGGAACTGTAATATTGTTTTCCTCTTACATGCACTCTTTTTCCCTATGTTAAAAAGCCACTGACAAGAATCATCTATTTATCTATGACAACTTGGACTGCTAGATGCTAAATCCATCTTCTGTTCTTCAAACCAGAAATGCAGCATGTATTAGGAATAGATGAGAATTAATTCTGGCCCTCTTGTCATCAGGCTCTCTCCAACACACTACCTTTCCTTAGCGTTCTTTATCCCTGAAGCAGTGGAATAAAGCAAGTCCCGTATGTCTGATGGAAAAAGAAACATCTAGTTTACTTATACAAAGGTGACTTCCTCCTCATTCACAGACCTCTTTGTTTATTGATGGGCAGTGGGATGAGGTGAGGAGGAGTTAACAACCTGGGTTGCCTGAGCTGGTAGGTTCAGATTCCAAATATTGGAAGGTTTCCTGAGTTTAGAATATTAGGTGGATATTTAAAGTCAGTTCTGGGAAGATAGAGTCTCCTCCAGCACTTGGTATCACATGGTCACTCTTATAATTGGGGTAAGATTCTGCACCTATTGGTTCAAACCAATTATTCAAAAAGGAAATCTTTAGACAGAATTCTAGATCATTAAATGTTATCTGGAGGCTGTTCTTGTATTCTGCCCATACTCATCAGGACTACACTTTGATCCTCATAACTGGCTTTGCTTTTATAGACCTTGAGTTTCTGATGAGCTCAATGTTGCACTGTGGCCTTACACTATGACTCTTAAAATATCTTAGATGAGCCACCATGTAGGTTATTTGGTGAGAGGTGTAGAGATGGCCATCACTTAAGACAAAATCTTAAAAATGGTGAGGATGATGAAAGAGGTGACACTGATTAAGATTCATTGTACTTATATACCATCATTGTGAAAGTTGAGTAAAATATTTTCTTCTCACATAAATAAGCTGAATAACTGTAAATATTGATAAGTTTTATGCATAAACAAAGAGGTCAGGCATTATAGGGAAAACCTATAATCCCAACACTTAGGCATCTGTGTAAGAAGGATTTTGAGTTCTAGCCTAGCTTGGGTTACAGAGTAAAGCCCTTCCAAATGAAAGGAAAAGTAGGAAAATTAGGAAAGGAAGAGAAGGAAGGAAGGAAGGCAGAGAAGGATCAAGAGAGGGAAAGAGGGAGGAAGAGAAGACAAGAAATAGAGGATAAGGAAATTAGGACTAGGAAGTAAGGAAAGGCCTTTTCATGAGGCTGAGGCATGTAGGATATAAAGAAACTATATAAAGAGTAGAAAGGAATATCTCAGGAAGAAGGCAAAGTACAAAACCATGAAAATGAAATGATCTTGTAACAATTCAGAGACAAATGAAATAAGCGTAGCCGAAGAAGAAAATGTTGCGAAGTACTATCAAAGAAGCACTATGGGTTTGAGCTTCCTTCTGGCCCTGAAAGTCTAAAGAATTTAGATTTCACTCTGAATTCAGTGTGAGGCTATTTGAAAGAGTTAAGCTGGGAGCCCTGACATGTTTTCACCTGTGAGCATCCATGTTTTCTTCTATTGCATAAAAACAAAAGTATATGTCATATTACAATTATTTCTGCAATAGAGGTTTGAGAAAAGTAAAATTAAAAATATAAATATTCCTTATGTGAAATGCTTGAAATGGAAAGTTTTTTCATATTTTACAGTTTTTCAGATTTTAAAATATTGTCATAGATTTTACTATTTGAACAGCTCTGGTGAGATTTCAGATTTTGTATTTTCAGATAAGAGTGCTCAACCTGTAGTTGTTTTGCTGAGGCCAAGATAAATGGCTCAAACTTCATCTCCCCTCTCCTTTTTTTTTTAACTTTTTAGCTGCCAAAGAGTGAAGGATGAAGCTGTCATATTTTTTGATCCTGGTGGTCTTCTATTCTGCAGTCAATGCAAATTTGAAGATGGTGTCAAAGAGAAATTCAGGTAAGTTGCTGGCAACTTTTCATATTCAGTCAATGCCTTGTAGTTTTTGTGCGCATTCTGAGGGCATCTATGTCTTTAATGAGGATTATGTTTAACCAGAAGCACTTTTACCAGTTATATTGGAAAGCAGCCAAAAGGAAAATGAAGTTTTTGCCTACCACTAAGAAAATGTTGGATAAGCAATAGAATTTGGATAAAGTTCAATGACCAGTGTACTCTCTATGGACAGTGAAATGTTGAAGGCCTACTTAGAGTTGTTTATATTTTCTAGTAAATACATGCTGCTGGGAGAAAACATTTACAAATAATAAGATAGGAAACCTTTTCATATATATACAGATATATTCATACGCACATACTTTGCCTTCTAATTGAGTGTGTGACTTTTCATACAAAATCTTCTAATAAATATGAGTGAGCTTTAGTGCCTCATATTTTTATGGAATACCTGGAAGGCCAAGATTGAAGGCTCCAAATTAAAAAAATATTAGTTAATTGCCTGAAAAGAAATAATTTGAGAAGTAATATCCATTCTTAGAATATGGCGGTCTGGTATGCAACTTTGATTGTACTAAAAAATTAACTGTAGCCAGTAAATATCTCAATCAAAACTGAACTCTTGTTTAATAACAGTTGTATATGTCTCTCAGTTTTGGCTATTCTACTGGTAATTCCAAATCATCCATAAGATTTGAAGCATTGACATTTTTTCTATATTTCCTAAGACAATGAGGATTATATTATTATATGGAAACAAGATGATTCTGGAAGTTTCTGTTGGCTTCTAATGCAGTTATTTCTGATAATTAAATAAATGTACTTAATTTTTTCATTGTCTAAACTCCAGGCAATAAAGCACAGGCTTACTTTATGAAGCAATAAATTCTATGTGAGGATTAGAGTTTATTAATGTTTATGTTCTAGGGGAAGGATACTGCTAATTGAAATAGCTAACAAATAGTGCTCTTCTGTGGATGATATATTGTTAAGTTTTTCACAAAAGTAGGTCACAGGTCATACAATAGCAAGGTCATATTCAAGCCTAAAAGGATTCTGGAATGGTAAATGTAGGGCCAATGTATTAGCTTTTTTTGCTTTACATGCTCATATATTTTAATCACTTTGGTATAATTGTGACTCTCTTTAGTCTGTATTTGTGTTCAAGATTTTACCAATCATCTCTCTAAACTGGTTTATCATTCCTGACAGCCTTTTCCTTCCTTACTTTTCAAGTCACATTTTCACTTTTGATCTTGGTTCAGATTGATTGCTGCTGAAATAAAACACTTGGAGGGTTGCCTTGGTAGCAAATGTAACCTGTTGGACCAGATCCCATTTTCTTCATGTGGTTATGTCATAATGTATGTAGCAGAGTCTGAAAGGTAGAAAAAAGAATCAGGGGTTTAGTAAATCATTAATATTATAATAGCTTAATTTATGTAAAATACAAACCAAAAATCAAACAAAGAAAAAAAACAAGAAAACCCCAGGTGCTATCTATGTATTCTGTTTTATTACTTAGGTTTGCTTTTTATTCATGATGAGAGAGGCTAACACACTCATGTATACATGTTTGCATACACACATATGTAGAATGTAATCACTAAACCACATGTAATATTCAGGAATCTACTTTTTACTTGTTAAGTGTAAGACTGTAGCATTATACTTGAATTTAGCTTTGATTTATGAATGTGTACAAGTACAATCAGCTACATGAAAGAAACATTATACAAAAACAATTCTACTTAAAGTTAAAGTATTTGAATGATGTCAATGTTCTTTCTCCCCTCCCTTAGTCGTCTCCTCCAGAGAAATTGCAGTTATGATACTGGAATACAACTTGGCAGTTGGAATGTCAGCTTGGATGCATAATTGGTCTTTTGCTTTTACATGCTCTTGTTTCTCATTATGGTGTTTACTGAGTAGGCAAGTTGGTGTGTGTTTGTGCTTATCTGTATGGGATTTATGTTATTTAATTAATTGGGTTAATAAATTAGTTTCATAAATGAAATTGGGTGTGTGATGAATAAGACATCTAAGTTTCCCATAGGTGATGAAATAGAGGTATTTGGAAGAGTTCTTTTATTCTCACTTCTGCTTAGTCAGCCTCATCAAAATCTTCCTTTCTAGCTCTACATTTCTGTTAATATTAGGAATGTATGTAGAAAATAGACTTCTTTACATTCTAGTTATGACTGCTGTTTGAGTTGCTTTATTTCTTAAATATATTTTAAAATGCTTTGGTGAATCTGCTGTACAACATTTGGATTCAAATAGTTTGTGAGGGAGGTCCTTTACCCTTTGCTAATTAAAGATATCTGGGTTCAAACATCCGAAGTTTCTCTTTGTGGTTCCCCCACTACCCATGGAATTCAGAGCTTCTAGTTTTTTCCTCGTTTCCCTTCCCCCAAGTTGAAAAATAAAGAATGATTGTGCCACTTATAAACTAGCTATGACTGCTTTGTGCCAGATGTGAAGCCAGTTATAATTTCTGTGCCATTCACTGTAGACAGGGACCCCTTTCACTGAGTTCTATGGTAAGATGTCAAGAACTGCTCTTATGCGCCAAACAGAATCAAGACATGAAACTTCCCTCTGAACTTAAAACACAAGGAAAATGTTTAATAACAGATGAAAATACTTTTTCTCTCAGTATTAGGAATGGGGCCCAGAGCTTCATGCATGTTAGGCAAATGATATACCACTGAGCTATACCCCCAGCCCCAAAAATTCATTAAAAAATCTGTTTTGGTCATATATTGGAAATAACACCCTACTTTGCCGGTGATGTTAATGTTTAGAAATGACAACATAGGGAAGTGGTGCTGTGGCTCAAGTGGTAGAATACTTGCCTTGAGCTGAAGAGCTGAGGGACAGTGCCCAGAGTTCAAGCCCCATAACCGACAAAAAAAAAAAAAGAAAAGAAATGACAACATAGGCTATGTTTCTATGTGATGCCTATTGACAGTGGAAAGCCCAGCCAGCATTCTTGGCTCAGGAAAGAGCAAAGATGAATCTGAGACTGTGTCTAGGGCCTGGTTTCATTAAAACCTTCCAAAATGCATGACAGCTCATTTTAAGGATTGTAACAAATTGGCCAAATAAGAGTCTATTCTCTTTTTTATAGAATACTTACCGTGTCTGTTAGTCTTTACATTTTCTATGTTTAAGACTACATATGTTTACAAAGCCTACTCTATTGAAAAGTTTACTTATTTTAAAGGTGTCAGTATTTTCTGGTAAGGAATTGGCTTCTATCTTGACAAAGGTCAAAGGTAGAAATGTCTAGTTCTTTATCCAGTAGAAGGCACATGTGCCTAAAGGTAATTTTTAAATAGAATGTATTGGAGGAATTATTGGCCCTCAAAAAAAGACCAATCAAGATCTTCTACTAAGCTGTTTTTTAACCTGAAAACTGAGTCCCAATATTATAATATGGATTTTTGTTTATTACTTGGGATATTAAATGGTATTTTAAGCTGTTTTCTGTTATTGCTCCTTCACAAAATGCAAACTCTGTTATGCAGTTAATGGTACTCAAATCTCCCAGCTTGGATCTCTCTATCGGATGACAAAGCATCCATTTCATGGTAAACTATGTTTAATTTTGAACCCAAATTGAGTCATCTTTCAGTCAGTTCAGCTACAAGATGACTATAGCAAACGACAGCTATGTGACCTGCTGTGGGAAGGAAAATTGTAAAGCTACTAAATTATTTGAATCAGCTAGAAAAATGGAGTTCCTATAGATAAGGAGAATGTGAAGACCTGCTGGCAGGTCTAGTGTGTACACCTGCTGGCGTACTTAGACATGTATTTTCGATTGACTTATATGGAGACATTCAATTCCATGTAACAATAGAACAGCTTTATTTGAGGCTTTGGCTTACAGGTGTGTAGAATTATAGTGTTTTCTGCGTATTGATGAGTAAGTAGAGGTTTAGTTTCGCCAAAAATGTATCGCCTTTACAATTTCCAGTTAGATAAGAGGAACATCACAAATGCAGAAAAAGAGGTTATATGAACCAACATTTCTGGAACAGTTAAAGTCTTTCAAACCATTTCCACGTGTAAATAGAATAAATACTCTTGTAAAATAAAATTATATAATTTACAAAAATACTATTAAATATTCTGTTTTGAATTCTTCATAAAGAGATAATAAGATGTTTTAAATTAGTGGGTAGAAGTTAAACTTGGTCTCAAAATTGTTATTCAGTAGTAGAATATGAGATAACTGGACAAGAAGTTAAAGGATCAATAAGTTGCAAATGAAATTTCCTTTCCAAAATTTATACTAATGAGATAAGATCAAGGAGAAAAATCCTCTTCCATGATCTGTTCTTAAGTTGAATGGGCCAATATGAAACTTGATACTTGGGTATTTTTAATCTCTTTAATTAGGGTGACTTCTCTGGAGGGAAATAAAGCAGTCTTGAAAAGATTGGCTAGGTCACTGGAAGTGTGGTCAGACAAATTCAGAATATAAGGAAGTTTAGAGCAATTTGGCATAGGCAGAGGTGAACCACAATAGTCGGAAGGAAATTGTGTCCTGAATCTATAAGAAATAAATGCTTACTGAAGCAGATGAAAGAGACATAATTTTAGAGCTCTTAGTCATTGGGTTATACATGGCCATAGGCATAGCTTATTATAAATTCTTACTGTACATGCAGTATTCATCTAGGCCTGTGGGTTTTGGAGGAAGGAAAATAAAATTCCTTCAGTCAAGAATACTTAATCTCATGGAGATAAATGAATGATACACACTAGAATAAGTGAATGATTAATAAAATGATGGTAATTGAATAAAACACTATAATAGCTATCAAGATGAGCAGGTTTTAGATAATATCCATCCATGGAAGTGTCAATATTAAATAGTATTGAACAAAAAGCAGAATAAAATAATGTTATTATATGCATTTTCACTAACCAAAACTGAAATAAAATTTGAGAAACCATTTCACATTTATAATCAAGTGGACTTTGTTCCA